TATATAACTAAAACATTTGAAAAATGATTAAATATTTCCACTTTTAACATTCCATTGACATTTATCAAGCCCAATTTTGAGCCAGGTACTGCGTTAGGTGTTGATGCTTTGCAGGTGTCTATCAGAAAGAGGCAATCAGGACACAAAGAGATGAGTGCAGGATATCAGGGGGGGATATGGGGGAAACGGCAACCTCAGACTTGGGAGGTTCAGAAGAAGCTTCCTAGAAGAAGTGAGGTTTCAAGTGAGATCTTAAGATTTGTAGGACTTAGCTAAACAAGGGTGAAGGTGTTCCTAGCAAATAGAAAAGACAACATGGGCAAAGCCCTGGCAGTGATAAGAGAACAGAGCCCACTAACACACCCCAACTGGACCAACTTGTATAATGCCAAATGCACCTGCATTTGAACTTAAAGATCTCAGCTTGGGAGGGGGTGCTTAAAGATGAGCAGTAAGACTGGGCGACAAAGTGTGAGTATGGAAAGATGAGGCTGTGCAGAGGAACTCGGACCAGAGCACAAGAGCACAGTATGAAAGCATCTTAGGAGTCCGAGCTTTTTCCTATAAAAATAGAAAACTATTCAGTTTTCAGCATGTGAAAGAGTTTCTTTTCATCCCACAGAAAAGTGGCTCACTTGGGCCACCTCAAGAAGCTCTTATTAATTGGGGAGCAGTAGTATACTTTAGTGGTTAAAAGCCTCAATTTTTTACTCCCAAGTCAGTGTTTGAATCTAGCTTCCCTCACCTATGAGTTTATTTTAACTATAGAAATGGTAACAATGGAAGCAGCGATTTCATAGCCACCCATGAATAGTCAGGTCTCATGGAATGGAATGTAGTTTAGGGACTAGAACAATCCAAGGCAGCACAGTGGGGCAGGCTGTCTTGCTACTCCTTTAGTAGTGGGTGTTGCTTACTCCACCACATTGGGACATCATCCAACATCCAAGCAAGCACCTTGTCTTGTACTTTAGAGTTTCTCAAATCTGTTTGCAAACCTATTTTTTTTTCTGTAGAACATATTATTTCCTCTTGCTTTCATACTCTCTGTATTGACTATTCCATAACTTCTGTTCAAAGCTCCCAAACCCCTCCCCTACTACACTGAGCCAATGACCCCATATTTTATTGAACACATAGGAGCAATCAGATGTATATTCCCTATTTTCCCACTATCGACTCTACCAATCTATGTCTGTCCCCATCTTTTCTGTCTTCCCTCCTTGGACAGTATAGGGCCAAATCTATTTCCAGGACAATTGCATATGAGGCTCTTAAAATGTTTGTTGAGAATTCAGGTTTCCTGGCCCACTCAAGACCTACAGAATTTGAATCATTGCTGGTAAACCAGCAATTGGCAGTTTGGAACAATTACTCACACATTCTTTCAATTACTCATGCTTCTTCATACTAACATTATCTTCTTTTTCATAAAATAGTGTTTCTCATGACCTGTACAATCTCTTGGCCTCTACATGTATATATTTTTCAGACTAATTTCCTCAAAAGATCACTAGTAAGCAAATAACCATGGTTAAGAAGAGTGCATTTATTTATTTATTCAACAAGGTATATGTTCCATTAATTCAAGAATGTATTTTAAAAACACATTTTACTATCTCACAATTCAAGACTGTTTTATAACCAATAGTCGTTAGCATTGTGCCATAGTGTAATCTGCAGTGTTTCTATTTTCTTGGCGGCACATAATCTAATATTGCATCCTACAATTGATCGCATTTTAGATTTCAGTGAAATGTGGTTTTTATCAGTTAGAAACTATGATGAACTTTTGGAGAGTTTAGAGGAGAGAGAAACATAGGGCTTCCACTGGAGAAAATGGACGATAAACAAGTAAATAAACAAGGCAGACTGTAACCAGTGTTATGAAGGAATTACAGATCAGGCGAGGTCGCTAAGGAAGTGACAACTTGAGCTGAGAACTGAAGGGCCTGTCATGCAGAGAACTTGGGGAAGAGATTGCAAGCAAACAAGGACAATGGCCCAGGGCATAGGGTGCCTGATATGCCTACGTTCAGAGGACAGAATTGAGTGACTCAAACACATCCCAAGTGAGGGAGAGAACGTATGAGATGAA